CCAGATCTGCTAAAAACCCAGGTATTTGTTGGAGCTGATCCTGTAGTTCCAGCAGACTGTTCCTTTTCTTCTCCCAGTGTGCAGAAAGCATCACAACTTCACTATCGACAAGCTGAAACAAACAGGTATTTAATTTACTTGCAAATTTATGTATTTATGAGCATCTTGGCTTATTTTTAGAATTAATGCATCTTCATTTTATTATATAATAGTATAATGTACTTATATGGGTCATATTCTATGAAAAACAACAAGATCAAGAGATCTTACATAACAAATGTTTCCTTTATATATAATTGAGATGATTCAATTATCGTTTCCCTGCTCTTAATTCCATTATCCGTCCTTCCTCTTGCACACAACTGCAGCTTGTGCCTGTATCTGCATTCTGAATTCCTCAGTTTTTATAGTATGTAGTTGCAGAAACTGAAAAAATCTAAGCAATGAGCAAATGAGTGCTCAGATTTATAATTCTACCCACTTCAGACTGATTCTATTAAAAGAATAACTTCTCCCATTTCCAAATTCCTCTAGCTACCTATGCCTGTCAAAAAGACATCCTGTTTTACTAGAAAAGTTTTGAAAACTTATTCCAAAGCCCAGAAAGTAATGGAACACCTCAGAATACCAACATCCTTATTGAAATAAAGCTAAGTCTATTTTTGAGAATGAGGTAGGATTTATATCAGTTAAACAGTAAAGCAAACAAAAAAAACCCCAAACAAGCCACCATGAGATGGGGTCAAACACCAGACAAACATTTTAGTCCAGAGATAACAATGCAGCTTAAACTACAATCGTCTAAAAGCAGTACCTTTAGAACAATTTTGTAAGTGGAATTGGTAGTTAACATCAACCATTTCACATGGTAAGACTGTAGGCTGCAATTAAAGCTTGAAATTGTCACTTTCCTTTCTCTATTCAACATTTATAAATAAGACAGCAGAGCAGTTTATCTGCTATTGGCCAGTACAAGAAATGGGATACTGGACAAGTGGATCTTTAGGTGTTATGCAGTACAGTCAACCTTGTGTGCTTACACAATTTTTATTTTATTTTCTACTTTTATATTAAAAAAAACAAACAAAACCCCACAAGCAAAATATATATATATATATATATATATATGTATGATTGTCCCAAAAGCGAATATCTGAATTTCATTGCAAATTTCAGTCTTTTTGGAAGCTTTTCATTCTCATTTTCCCAAGCAGCTATAACATGTGAGATTAAGGTTATATTGGCTTAGTACATATGAAACCTCACATCGTTTTCAGAACTACAATTTTTAAAGCAAACTAAACAAGCAGCAAGTATTATAAAATTGTGATCAAGTCATTTAAGAGATCTACAAAAGATCCTTGTAAGCAGTAAACCATGCAAAACTGACAGAGAGAACTTCGTCTCCAGTAACTGGAAGTTTTCACTGGAACTTGTGGAAAAGGTGGGCCACACTATTAGGCAAGAGAAAGAACACAAGATATCTTCCTTATTACCGTAAATACACAGTGAGTTATTTTTCCATCGGACAAAGACACACAGAAGTGTCGTAAATAAAACAGAAGAGCCAGGGAGGATGCACCCAGCCAAAGTGAAGGTTTCAGCCAGGACAGAGAACCCTACAGCTCAGTCCTGCTCAGCCTGCACTGTCTGCCCCTTAAACATGGCTCATAATGGAAAAGTCTGGTGTAGAGTAATGCATTGGTAACACTTACTGGAAGTCTCCCTTATTCCACAAATAAACCGCACAACTTGTCACTTTGCTTGCAGGGCAGGAACACTGAACAAAATTAGGAGAAAGCAGACACTTCCCTAATCTTTTCAGTCAGACAATCAAATCTTGCCATTTCTTATCCGCTAGGAGTGGGCAGCAAACATTATCAGTGCAACAGCCCTACCCTGATAGTAACCATCAACATGTCTCAACCTCAAATATATTCTATACTTTCCCAGTCCCCCCACTGCTTTTAAAGAGCTATAGCAGTAACATGCAACATCATTTTTGCAACTGTTTACATTGCATCACATTATTTCATGTTTGCATTACACTCTTGTTTACATTACTGTGTGAGTGAACAAGGCTGTGTGGGTACTTACCTAGAGGTCAGGGTTAACCCTGTATGCTGGTACCAAAAATTTTAGTTTAAAATTATTTACACATTTTAAAATATTTCAAGTATGGTATTGTTATTTTTTCTCACCTCTCCAGCTTTTGCACAATCTTTGGCTCCTTTGTGAAGGGCAGCCCACGCATCTTCATATCTGAAGAGAAAATAAATTACTACTCTTACTGTGCTCCCCTTACAGAGGAAGATTTATAGATATTACAGTGCTTATATTTACAGGCACTACCAGAAATTGCAGCTTAAAAAGCTGTACAATTCTTTTCAGTATTTACTGTTCTACCGAGACAAATATACGGTAAGAAATAATATCTTTTAAAGAAAAAGTGATTCATGTTTTTTAACCTGCTAGCTTACATTAAAAGTGAAATGGACCCAGCAATATCAAGACTATACACTGCCTGAAGCATTACTTGGAACCCAATTTCATTAAGAAAATGAAAAAAAACCCAAAACAATATTGTAATCACACATACACTGCCCTCCCCCCCCCAAAAAAAAAGAGAATAGATTTTTTTAAGATATAAAGAAAACTTATAATGGAGATAGCTTCTGTTATTCAGAAAAGATGTGATTAAATACATATGGAACACGCTGTCTTTTCGAGGCAATGACAGGCATATTGTCTCTATTGTTATAGAGGGAAATTATATCAAATACGTCTAAGTTATGAAACATCAAATCGAAACCACAGACTAGGACTCAGTGCTGGTCTTCGTATCTGTGCATTAGAACATGAACTAAAGTCATCTCTCAAACGTGGCTTTTCCTCCAGAACCTCTGCTGCATTAGCACGACAGTACTTGAGTACGGGGCAAGCTTTAAACATAGTTGTCATTTGGTAACCACTCTCACACTCCTAACTGCAGAATATTCAAAAACCTATTAGCAACACTTTGGTTTTCTTCTAATTATCTTAATCTAATGAAGTTATTCCTGAAACTGTAGGAAGCAGACACTAAGAAAGAACAGGAAGGTCATACCTGCTGAGTAATTCCAGTCCAGCAGAAAACTCTGGCAAACACTGAATAGGTCTATAAAACAAATTGTAAATATACAAAATTTTTAAAAAATAGAAGTCTATTATAAAAAATGAGTGCACACACACCTGCACTTGACAGATGCTGAGTAGAAATGTTCCCTACTGTTCAGTTTCACAAACATTTTGCCAACTCTGGTTTAAGATTCATTACATAGTGGATCTTACAAGAATATTTCAAAGCTAGGATTGCTTTTTTTTCTTTTGTTATTTTATGACAGCCCATTCTTTCTTCTTTTTGACTATGTCCATTGAAAACAATTTTTATGAAATAATTTCTTAGTACAGTTAAGAAAGAGACAAGAAGGACATTGTTTTAACTTAAAACAAGGCACAGAAACATCCTGAAAATAGGACTACTACACAAGTTCTTTATGCCCCTCAAAAGAGATGTTGCACTTAATATATTCTGCAATCAAAAAGAAACACTAAGCTAAAGAATCTTTGCCAATTTAATGCTCCAATGATTTCATATTGGATGTGTATGTTTCCATTAGTAACAACTTGAAATATAGAGAAAACTTATTATAACAGAATCACGTAACCAATTAGGTTGCAAAAGACCTCTGAGATCATAGAGTCCAATCTATGACCTAACAGCACCTTGTCAACTAGACCACGGCACTGAGCGCCACGTCCAGTCTTTCTTTAAAACACCTGCAGAGACGGTGAGTCCACCACCTCCCTGGGCAGCCCATCCCATTAACCAATCACCCTTTCTATAAGGAAATTCCTTCTCATGTCCAAACCTTCCCTAGTGCAATTTAAGATTATGCTCTCTCATCCTGTTGCTAGTTTCCTGGGAGAAGAGGCTGATCCCATCTGGCTACAACCTCCTTTCAGGTAGTTGTGGAGAGTGATAAGGTCCCCTCTGAGTCTCCTTTTTTCTAGGCTAAACAACCCCAGCTCCCTCAGCCGCTCTTCCACAGATTTGTGCTCCAGACCCTTCACCAGCTTCATTGCCCTTCTCTGGACTTATTCCAGCACCTCAATGTCCCTCCTGAATTGAGGAGCCCATCTAAGTTATAAGTTACAGAAAATTAACAATGCAGCATTTTAAGGGATGTGAAGATTTTGATATCATCCAAGATTTGTCTCCTGGAAGATGACCAGAATAAACTGCTTTGCACTGTCATCCACACAATTTGAATGGACAAACACCACAAATGAAACCCTTTTTCCTTAAGCCAAGGGAAAAGTGGCAGAATCAGTGAGGTGGAAAGGGACTTCAGGCAGTTTCTATTGCAACCTCCTGTTAAAACCAAGACCAGCTAGGATCTCAGAGCAACTTCCTCAGGTCTCTGTTCAGTTGCAACTTGAAAACCTCTGAGGACAGAAATTTCACAGGCTCACATTCAGCCTGTTGTCTGTCAAGGCCCCCAGGGTCTTTTCAGCAAAGCTACTTCCCAGCTGGTCTGTCAGCCCCAGTGTGTATTGTGGAGGATACTACCTTTCCAGTGAAACACTGGATTTGTACCTCTTAAATTTCATGAAGTACCTCTTGGCATATACATTCCTACGGCCTTTTATGGATTGAGTTCACGCAATTTATCTTCATTCACTACTGGTCAGTTTCCCCCCTTTCACTAAGCACAAGGAACTGAAGCAATAAAAGCATTAAATACCTCAACAACATCTACATTTGCTGCCATTCATTCCATTCATCAACAATCCCATGTTTTCTTTGTTCAGCCTTTTATTATCAATGCAGGGCTAGCAGCTCTTCTTGCCCTTGATATCTCTTGTAAATGTCAATTTACACCCTCCAGAACACTTCTTGAATGCATACTGATGTGTTGTCTTTTCAGCAGGTGGAAGCTAAAGGCCCTTATAAGAATGGGGTTTTAATGACACAGAGAATTCCTCAAGTTGTTTAGAGAAGACATCATTCTCTCCCTGATCAGATGGTCAGTGAAAAACTCCCACTGCGACACCACCCTTACTGGTCTCTTCTCTGCTCCTCACCCATATGCCCTCAGCCATCCTTACAAGTCAAGGTAAGCTACGTTTGTCCCAGAACTTTACTAGCAAAGCCGAAGTCACCCTGGAATTCCCCTGTTTCTGACGATTCAATTGGTTCACCCAGTATTTTCTCAAAGTGATGGATATTTACAGTACATTAGAAGAACCAAAATATTATGGACTGGAAACATGCAGAGAAGGCAGTTGCCTAAAATAGTTTCATTCAAGCCTTTACCCATTCTTAGTTTAGTCTCTGTGCCTTGTCAATACAGCCAGTCTTCTCTTAAAAAAACTTTATATCCAAAACATCAAGATTCAGAACTTAAGACAGTTTATTTCAGACACTTTATTTTTAGTGCAGGGCTTGTTTTTAAATTAATTTGTGTCTACATACTGTGTTTTACTAAGAAGATACTTTAAAAAAGCATATCTGAGCTTATTTGAAGAAGCAACACTCACAGATGTCATTTACAGACATAAACTAGTCTTTCCTTGTAGCTTATACAGGTTGAAAGAATGAGCAATGTACTAAAATGCAGGCGATTAAAAAACAAACAACAAAACAAACAAAACCACAAACCACCACAAATCTCAAAACTTCTTGAAACAGATAATTGAAGTAATCACAAATATATTTTCCACAATAAAAAGGCTCCTATTTCTGTTTTACAGTTAACCCCCCCCCAAATTATAATTTTAATACAATAAATTCACAAAGATTGTAATCAATTACATTTCAGTGTAGTACAACCTGAAGCTTCTATTCAGTACTACAATAACACTGAATATTCGTTTAATTTAAATGATCAACAGCCATCGGAAATTATTTAGGCCTATCAATGAATGTTCTATGAAGCAAAGCATTTGCTCAATAGTAGAGCTAAGCTTTTCTGTTGTCAGAACAGTATTTTGTAAAATTACATGCAAATGTTCTTGTAACTTGCTCATACATATGAGCCATTTCAAATTTTTCTTTAACAAGAGCATCCTAGATCAATGCTATACATTAAGACATTATGAAGTACCTCTGCCTTTTTTTTGCATCTCTTGATTTGTCGCCCAAAGTCTTCAACCTATAAATCAAAACACAGAATCATCAGACATTTCCAAAACCAAAACCAGAGAATAAACTGTTTGAGCACATAACGCGTTAATTCCACTTTATTACAGTAATTTTCTTTCAGCTTATTTCACAAATAAATTCATATGATGGTCTCCACAAAACTAAGTGAAATTTCATTTATTTCCACCAACAGTGCTTCTAAATTATGAGAATCTCCAGCAGCATCACCACAGTGCCCTGCTACTGAGCATATTTGAGGCTTGTTTCACCCACGCTCAATTTCAAACTGACCGATACCTTGTTCTTAAAAAGCACAAAAACCCCTAAACTAACCAACCAACCAAAACCCCAACCAACAACAAACAATTCCCCTTCCCCCTCTCCACACCTCGCCAACTCTTTCCACTCCTTCCTCTTTTTCAGTCAACCTGTATATGATAAAGTTGACAAAGTAGAGTGAGAACCAAAACCTCTGGCTATTCTCTGATCACCAAGACGATGGCTGTCCACAGTCTCTACTAGGCCCTTTGGAGTCACAGCTGTCCAGGACAGTAAGAGTTAGGAAGAAATATAGGACACAGACATGAGCAAGATGGAAATGAGTTTTGAGTACCAAAGATATCCTCCAGACGTGACAGAGATATGTAATCCTGAGTGACCCAGGGATTGAGAAACAACCTAGTATACAGATATTTGAGTTGCTTCAAGGGTGAGCCAAATCACTCCCCCACTGCTAACCACCACAAATTTTCCAGAAACTCAAAGAAACTTCAAAGTCTACAGCAAAATAGGCAGTTGACAATTTGAGAAAAGACATGTTAAGGCATGCCTCCGCTCCCTGTTAGAGAGCTGCTTATAATAGCCAAGCCAAGCAGAAACAACCACAGCACACTGAAAGAAGAACATCTCTGTCCTCCTCCTCCTCTGCCATATTCCCCAGTATGCACCCCAGCCTGGAACAGCAGCACTCCTCTGCATACAGGGATAGAAGGAAATGCTGGGCTACCACTATCAGTTCTCATACTAGAATATCTGCCAGGCAGTTGGAAGTAAAGGTTAAAGGATTTATCACTAGACTACAAAGTACTGACTTCCTTTCAGCAGCGTTCCCTGTACAAAGCGTAAGGCAGTGTGAGCCACATCACTCAAGCTGGCAGAAGCACAATTACTGCCTGAGCACAGACGAACGCAGCTCACTGTTCCATTTTGGTTGTTTTTCTTCCTCCTGCAAAAGATTGCTAACAGCTAAATGGGTCAAAATTTAGATACCTTGCTCACGGGATACACAGAAGTAGACAGTAAACACAGCTGAGCAGGGGAAGAGGGCACAGAAATGGCTAATAACTTTAAACTTCAGTAACTCCATTTCTTAGTGCACAGAGATGGCTAGTAACTCTAAACTGATCTCTTTAGACCACACATCCCAGATTTAATCTTTTTCCATCATACATAGACAATTCCTTTGGAAGCAGTACTATTTTGTTAGAAGCCCTGAAAAGCTTCCCCCTCGTGACGCTTCAAGAAATCCAACTGTTCCACTTTGAAAGCATTCAGGCGTAGTTAAGAAGTTGGCAACAACTTTACACCAGAAATACTTTCTAATACTTTCTTTGGGTTTTGACAATTTTAAGGTCGGGCAAGTCTTAACAGCTCAAAATGACTTCTATTATCACTCCAGTGGGGTACAGAATGGGCTAACCTAGAACACCAAGGCATTGAGGTTGCATTGTCCAGGAAGGGAAAGGGGGTAAAACAGGACAAATTGTGTTCTGGCCTCTGTGGGGACACTAAAGAAAAAAAAAGCCTCTGTGGCTCTGAGATACAGGTCCCCAACTGCAAAAGAGATTACACAACATATGAAAATACCACTTAGACATGGGACTCTGGAATAAGGGCACATTAATGGAGCTGCCAAAACACAACCATGGAAATGATGAAATCGGGGACTGTTTTAAAACAGAACACTGCAACACAAGGAAGAAGGCAAATTAGAGACTACATGGAAACATACCGACTCAACTGCTGCGATACATGGAAATACAGAATTAAATGATCATTGGATCCAGCATGTTATGACCTTTCTCTTGCCCACTTTCATTACTTGAAAAACACCTTTTTCAAAGGAACCTTACACTGTACTAAGGTATCAACCCCTCTGAGAAGGTAAAAATAACAGCAAAACAGAAAGACAGACAGCAATAAAGCAATGCCATGCCATTGTCTGTATTCTTAAGACATTTTAATATTCTATTAGCGTCAGGTAATATGAGAGATAACATGTAAGCAATTTATCTGGTTGATTTGAAGCCTATTCTATCAATTTCTCTTGACCATCATATACTGTTGTAAATACGTCACCATAAAGTATATAAGTTTCTGGAGTATACAGACATTCACCACTATATAAAAATATTTACCATAGGGGTATCTTAAGGCAGCCATAACGTTGCCGAAGATCACACAGTTTTTAAAAGCAATTGATTACAATATGATATTCTCCTGTGACTCATTACGAGCCAGCAGTTCTGCAGCACAGACATGACCTTGATCTCACTGACTTCCAGTAATACTCATTTGGGCCACCTACTTGTACTAAAAATAACATCGACACAGAGCCTATCTAAATAAACCTTGCGAGGCAACGTAGGAGGAATATCTTTCTACTTTTTAACACAAGCGAGGGGCTGCTCCATCCACTTATCCTGCGCTTCTTTCCCCCAAGTGACAGTAACTCATCCTCCAAGGAAAGACAAGCTTCCCCATACGCCCAGCGGCGCGCAGCGATGCTCTTTAAACAATTACGATGATCCATAAAACCTTGAAGGTCAGTCACTTCATGAAAAATTCAAGCGCGTTAATTGACTCCAGTCACATCTCCTCTCAGAACAGTAGGCTCTGTCTGTCTCTCTCTCCTTCCCCTGACCGCAGCTGCCTCCCGAGCACAGAGGCACCTCCTCCCCTCCTCTCCCCGCCGCAGCTGCAGGGCTCGCCAGCCCGCCATCAGCCGCTCAACTCAGGCGGGAACACGGCCCGCAATGAGACCCTGGAGCCGCGTTTCCAGCCCGTCCCCGCACCGCAGAGGGTACCCCGGGTGACAGACCAGCCCAGGACGAGGGTCCTGCCTGCGCAATCTCCTCCTCTTCCTCCCTCCCTGGGCCAGTCCCCGCCTCCCCCGACCCCCGGTCACCTGCTTCCCCCTCCCCGCCCGGCTGCGGGACGCGGGTCCCTCTCCCGTTCCCCCCTCCAGCCCCGCGGTGCTGGGGGCCGAGGGCGATACTCACCCGGCGGTGAGGTCCTGCTGGACGCTCAGCAGCCGCTCCCGCAGCGTCTCGAGCATCGTCCCGGCCTTCCCCGGCTGCGGAGGCCAGCGCCGGGAGGGAGGGGCGCGGGCGGGGCTCGGCTCCGAGCCCGCCTCCTCTCCAGGCCGCCCCCCCTCTTCCGCCTTTTCCGACTTCGCGTGTTTCTTCGCAAAGTTGTGAGCAGGGGTGCTTATTGCTGAGGGGAGCTGAGCCCCTCGTTCTGCGTCCCCCGTTGTGCGAGGGTAGAACGGGACGGTTTCAGGGTTTGACCTCGAGAAGCGTATGGATCCCTGAAGTTGCAGCTTTTTAGAGGTTTTTTTTAAAGACCGCAGCAAAGTCCCTTGACAGGTTGGGACCTTGGCCTGAATGATTTTGACATCAGCTATAGCAGCGTAGGAGTGAACTCCTTAGAGCTACGAAGTTGATCCAGGGACTGGAGCATCTCTCTTACGAGGAACAGCTGAGGGAGCAGGGCCTGTTCAGCTTCGAGACAACTGAGAGGGGACCTCATCAATAAGTGTCTGAAGGGAGGGTGTCAAGGGGATGGAGCCAGGCTCTTTTCAATGGTGCCAAGTGATAGGACAAGTGGCAATGGACAGAAACTGATGCACAGGATGTTCCATCTGAATATGAGGAAGAACTTCTTTACTGTACAGGTGACAGTGCACTGGAACCGATTGTCCAGAGAGGCAGTCCTCACTTGGGATATTCAAGAAACATCTGGATGCAATCCTGTGCCATGTGCTCTAGGATGACCCTGTTCGAGCAGGGAGCTTGGACCAGAAAACCCACTGTGGTACCTTCCAACCTGACCCATTCTGTGGTTCTGTGAACTCAGGGAATTGGGCTTTGTGATCAAATCTTAAAAGTATGGAAGGCGAAACCACTCCCTGTGGTTGCCGGGTTCTTGGGGTAAGGGATAGATGATAACCTTTCAAAATCCTTGCAAAGCAGGTAGTTGAATTATTTGTCTATGTGGCCCAGCACTGTTTTCATTGGAGGCTGCTGGACTTGTATAGATACTAATGATTCTTAATGAACTAAAAAAAAAAAAAAAAAGTCTATTCTTACAAATAGTAAATAATGCAGTGAAAAGTTTTAATTAAGCTTCTAGGTACAATCTGTTCCAATCATAACTGTCATAAGTCAGTCAGCAAATCTTTAGACAGTTCTAAGGGGAATCAGTCCTTTTCAGAACAATTGGCCAGTCTTTCTGGTTGGCTGTATTTTACAGTCACGGTAACAGGAAGACAGTCTCACACCTTGTGCGTTTTCAGTTAATATCTGAGGAATATGGACTAAGGATTTAGATGGATCTGGGAAATCTTAGACTTACATTTAATTGAGACCTCAATTTTTACAAAAAGCAGCTGAGATTTTAAAGTCAAAGCATTTTATTTGTTAACCATTTCAATTTTGGTTGAAATTCAAAAAAAAGTCAAGAGCACTGAAATAATTTGTTACAAAGAGAATGTATGCAGAGGGTATCTCGTGGGTGTGTCGTTTAATACTGAAGAGTGTTTGAGGTACATTCAATAAACTGGAAAACTGATACCATAATCCCAACACAGCTTGTGTGCTTTTAGAAGAGCATGGGAGCTATAGGTTGTTTCTGATGTGGCTTAAAAAAACAGTATTGCTCTGTGGCCTTAATGCAAGTTAAAAGCTAAATTCCTGCTAAAAGACTAATAATGATTGGGGTTGATTCTTCCAAGAATTGAAACTGATGTGGCTCGCTTTGTCTTGATGTCAGAAAGACAATTTTCATGGCAGACTGCATATGAAGTTCTGTAAAAGGATGTATGACATTTAGACCATATTTTTCTCTTGCTTATCTAACAACAATATCTGAAAAGACTTCCCACTTCCCTGGATAGTTAGCACTCCAAACTAGGAGGGGAAGGCCTTGAATCAAGTTTTTTCTGCTGTATTCACAGGAATACATTACAAATGCTGACAAAAGCTGTGCAATCTGGCCTTAGGTAATATATATGTTATGGGAATTAAAGTTTTCAGAAAATAAGGCAGCTGTTTTGTAACCTTAAATTTTTGCCCTTTCTTTGAGAAGTCATATGACTTTCTTCTCTGTTACATATTTTCAATTTTCTTATGAATGGTTCTTGTCAGTGCTGTCTCTAATAATTCCTAGAGAATAAACACTCTTATATTCCATTTCGGCTTTTGCAGTTAAAAAGAAACTACTCAAAGACTACTGTGTTTGAATTTCAATTCCATCTCTGTGTAGAATTTGGGAAAAGAAATGTGTCGAGATAGTATTAACAGTCACA